AGGGATGTAGAATTTCTTGAGTATATATCTATTTCTGTGAGGACATGGGGTTGCTAATTCATTGCGCTTATTCAAGGTACCTAGATTCTTTTTACAAATGATTATAAATTTCTCGTTAAGACATAAATTACATTAATTTTTTTGTTGTGATTACTATATGGCTGACTTTTCTTGATTATTTTCCATTTGATATCATGTGTTTCGTTATTACAAATTACATTTGTAACAGTCACAACRAATAAGTTTTGATCTGTTTTATCAAACACGGAAAACTGTTTTTGATCTGTTAAATCATAACTCCCATACATTCCCTTATAAACCATACACAGGATCCTTGTTTGGACTGCCTGTGGATTTAGTAATAGTATCAAGTTTCGTATGCAAAGAAGTTCTTTGCGTGATTTCCAAGATACCTATTTTAAACATTTTTATTTATTTATTTATTTATTTGATGACTTTCCCAAAAATAATGAACATACAAATATATAAAAAAAATATAGAATATACAAACGGAAATGAACAATGTACATACTAACGATAATATACTAAGAGGGGACAACAGTAGGGGGAAACTGAATTCCCATATAAAAACTGTTCTTCTTATATTAATATAAACAGGAACACGTATACATACATAAATACAAAATTCTAAAAATATTTGTGGATAAAAATGACTATGTACAAAATCACATATGAATAAAATATCTATTGTCATGGACAAAATGTTTGTCAAGTTTGATTATTGTAGATCATCATAGAAAACAGATTATCAAGCACGAAACTTAAGTAGGAATCAATTAATCAATTAAGAAAAGTAGGTCTATTTGCTCTGAGTGTTATTTCTAGGATTACATGAATAGGCTTGACATTTTGGTTCCACATGTCACAAGGGAGAACAGAAACGCGTGTCAAAGTTAAACAGTATCAGTTCTCGGAACCAAAATGTCAGTCCTAATGGTTTGCTTGAGATTAAGGTCRACAGCTCAGCACGTGGAGTTGTTGGCCATCTGAGCAAACATTCTATTCACTTTTGACATCTCTAAAGCTTTTGTTCTCTGATAGTACTGCATAATCAGGTGTGTCAACAATCTGTTGACATTCCAACTTTAGTCTCAATAATCTCCTTCATTTTTGTTTCAAACTTGAATCACCTTCAAGTGGTAATTAGTTAAGTTAAGTGTATA